TATTAGTGGACCAAATCCATGACAACCCAGAGTTGAGACCAGGAGGCAGAGTCGCAGTTAACACACTTCTCTGCCCTTCTTTTTCAGCAGTTACCCACCCAAAACCCTACGCAGAGTCGCAGTCTAACACACTTCTCTGCTCCTCCATTTCAGGAGTTACTTAGTGAAAATCCTATAGTGACGGTGTCTGCCCCCCGACCATCGAAATTATTTAAAAAGGTAAACAGAAGAGCTGTGCATAAAAACCTCATAAAAATTAAAACCACAAGAGCAATAGTGCAAACGAATAGGAGAGTTAAATGTGGACTCTTAAACATCAGATCTCTCTCTTCTAAAGGTGTACTAGTAAATGAACTAATATCAGATTATGATATTGATTTATTGGTCTTACTGAAACCTGGCTGGGTGATGGAGAATATGTTAGCCTAAATGAATCCACCCCTCCCAGTCATATTAATACTCACATTCCTCGAGGCACAGGCCGAGGAGGTGGAGTTGCAGCTATCTTCGACTCTAGCCTATAATCAGCTCTAAACCTAAACTAAACTATAACTCATTTGAAAGTCTTGTTCTTAGTCTTTCGCACCCAAGTTGGAAATCACTGCAACCAATTCTTTTTGTTATAGTGTACCGAGCACCTGGCCCGTACTCTGAATTCTTATCTGAGTTTTTGTCAACTTTAGTCCTTAAAACGGACAAAGTTATTATTGTAGGAGATTTTAATATTCATGTGGATGTTGAGAATGACAGCTTCAGTACTGCGTTTATCTCTCTGTTAGATTCCATCGGCTTCTCTCAGAGTGTTCATGAACCGACTCACTGTTTTAACCACACCCTCGACCTTGTTTTGGTGTATGGTATTGAAATTGAACATTTAGTGGTGTTCCCACAGAATCCCTCTTTATCCGATTTGATAACTTTTGAGTTTGTATTGCTGAACTACTCGCCATTGGGCAAAAATTTCTATACAAGATGTCTGTCTGATAGTGCCATAGCTAAATTTAAGGATGCGATTCCATCAGCTCTAAATACATTATCTAGTCACAAAGTAACGGAGGACTCCTATGCTAATTTCAGTCCCTCCCAAATCGACCATCTTGTTGATAGTGCTGCAGGCTCGCTGCGAATGACACTCGACTCTGTAGCCCCTCTAAAAAAGAAAATACTAAACAAAGATGGTTAGCTCCATGGTATAATACTGAAACTCGCAAATTAAAGCAAATATCACGGAAACTTGAGAGGAATTGGCGTTCCACCAAAGTGGAAAATTCTCGTTTAATTTGGCAAGATAGTCTTAAAACTTATAGGAAGGCCCTCCGTAATGCCAGAGCAGCGTACTACTCGTCATTAATAGAGGAAAATAGGAACAACCCCAGGTTTCTTTTCAGCACTGTAGCCAGGCTGACAGAGAGTCACAGCTCTATTGAGCCAAGTATTCCCATAGCTCTCAGTAGTTACGACTTCATGAGCTTCTTTAATGATAAAATTCTAGCTATTAGAGACAAAATTCACCAAGACCTGCCCTCAACTGGCACCACTTCTCTCTAACTCAGGAACCTTAGAAACAGCTGTAGAACCAGATACATGTTTAGACTGTTTTGCTTCCCTCAATCTTTACCAACTAACTTCAATAATTTCTTCATCTAAACCATCAACCTGCCTCTTAGACCCCATCCCGACTAGGCTGCTTAAAGATGTTTACCCTTAGTCAGCACCTCTATACTAGATATGATCAATCTATCTTTATCAACAGGCTATGTACCACAGTACTTTAAAGTAGCTGTAATTAAACCTCTTCTGAAAAAGCCCAAACTTGATCCGGATGTTTTAGCCAACTATAGACCTATATCTAACCTTCCATTTCTCTCTAAGGTTCTGGAGAAAGCAGTTGCTAAACAGCTGTGTGACTTTCTACAGAGCAATAGTTTATTTGAGGATTTTCAGTCAGGATTTAGAGCTCATCATAGCACAGAGACAGCACTGGTGAAAATTACTAATGACCTCCTTATTGCATCAGACAAAGGACTTGTCTCTGTACTGGTTTTATTAGATCTTAGTGCTGCATTTGATACCATTGACCATCAGATCCTATTGCAGAGACTGGAATATTTCATTGGCATTAAAGGAACCGCTCTAAGCTGGTTTAAGTCCTATTTATCAGATCGATTTCAGTTTGTACATGTTAACGATGAGTCCTCCATGCACGCCAAAGTTACTCATGGAGTTCCTCAAGGATCTGTCCTTGGACCAATCCTCTTCACTTTATATATGCTTCCTTTAGGCAATATTATCAGGAAACATTCCATAAGCTTTCATTGTTATGCAGATGATACTCAGTTATATCTATCGATCAAGCCAGATGAAACTCATCAGTTAGCTAAACTTCAAATGTGCCTTCAGGATGTTAAAACCTGGATGACCTGTAATTTTCTCATGTTAAACTCAGATAAAACTGAAGTTATTGCTCTGGGGCCTAAGCACCTCCGTGACGCATTATCTAAAGATATAGTTTCCCTGATGGCATCGCCTTGGCCTCCAGCACCACTGTGAGGAATCTTGGAGTTATCTTTGATCAGGACATGTCGTTTAAGTCTCACATTAAGCAAATTTCAAGGACCGCCTTTTTTCACCTACGTAATATTGCGAAAATCAGGAACATCCTGTCTAAAAATGATGCAGAAAAACTAGTCCATGCATTTGTTACTTCTAGGCTGGATTACTGCAATTCCTTATTATCAGGCTGCTCGAAAAAGTCCATTAAGACTCTTCAGCTGATCCAGAATGCTGCAGCACGTGTTCTGACAGGAACCAGGAAAAGAGATCACATTTCTCCTGTTTAGCTTCTTGCATTGGCTTCCAGTAAAATCCAGAATAGAATTTAAAATCATTCTTCTTACCTACAAAGCTCTTAATGGTCAGGCACCATCTTATCTTAAAGAGCTCATAGTACCTTACTACCCCACCAGAGCACTGCGCTCCCAGAATGCAGGGTTACTTGTGGTTCCTAGAGTCTCCAAAAGTAGACTAGGAGCCAGAGCGTTCAGCTATCAAGCTCCTCTCCTGTGGAACCAGGTTCCAGTTTGGGTTCAGGAGGCAGACACCATCTCCACATTTAAGAGTAGGCTTAAGACTTTCCTCTTTGATAAAGCTTATAGTTAGGGCTGGCTCAGGTGAGTCCTGAACCATCCCTTAGTTATGCTGCTATAGGCCTAGACTGCCGGGGGATTTCCCATGATGCACTGAGCTCCTCTCTCCTCTACTTTCTCTCCCTCTGTATGCAACCTTATCCCATTATTGCATGTTACTAACACAACTTCTCCCCTTTCTGGTAGTCTTGTGCTTTCTCGTCTCTCTCCTCTCTCCTATCACTTCCTGCAGGTTTTCTGGCTCTGGAGCTGTGGAGTCTGGATCTGTGGTTGCGGGTCACCTGCTGCCCCCGTGTTCCTGCTCGACACCCTCTGCTGCAACGACTATTGTTGCTAGTCTTATTGTTATTATTGTTATTATAATCATTAACATTACGATGGTTATCATTAACACTATTATAAATATCTGTACCATTTTTCATTTAGTCTATAGCAACATTACCTTCACTGTCTGTACCTCTGTGTGTATATTGTGTAGGCTCTCTCTCTCTCTCTCTCACCCCAACCGGTCGAGGCAGATGGCCGCCCACCCTGAGTCATGGTTCTGCTCGAGGTTTCTGCCTCTTAAAAGGAAGTTTTTCCTTGCCTCTGTCGCCTAGTGCTTGCTCTTGGTGGGAACTGTTGGGCTTCTGTAAATAACATCACAGAGTACGGTCTAGACCTGCTCTTTTATGAAAAGCGCTGTGAGATAACTGTTGTTGTGATTTGGCGCTATATAAATAAAATTGAATTGAATTGAATTGAGTCTGGGTTTTTATTCCATGTCTTTGTTCCTAGTCCTGTGCTTTAGTTCATGTCGTAGTATTTGCTTCTAGTTCTTTCTCTGCATCATTTTGGTTTAGTCTGCTCTGTGTTCTAGTTCTGTCTTCTCATTTAGGTTTTGTCTGCTATGATCCCTGTGTTATAGTTGGTCAGTGTGTGTCTGTTTACATGGGTTTCTGTTATTGTCTGAAATTAGATTCTTGTCTGGTAATTTGTAACGTGTTCTGTCTGTGTTGGTTATTAATTTTGCCCCATGTCTGCCTGTCAGGTGAGCCTCTGTGTTTCCCTGCTTTCTCTCTGCCTGCCTCGTTAACCTGATCCTGGTCACCTGTGTTGCTCCCTCCCAGCTCGTTACCCCGTGTGTGTGTGTGTGTGTGTGTGTGTATACTTCCTCAGTCTGTGTCCGGTCATTGTAGTGTGTAGACGCTCTGTCTCGTGTTGTATTGTTTTACCTGCCCTGCTCGTCGTGTCACCCTGTTTCTGTGGATTTGGATTTCTGTTGGATCACCTGTTTATTTGGACTCTGTTGTTTTTGGATTATGGATTCAGCCACTCCGTTGTAAGTGTGCTCGGTTTTAATAATAATAATAATATAATAATAAATTTTATTTATAATGCACTTTACATTTCAGGGAAATCTCAAAGTGCTAAAATTTTAATTTTAATTAAACCTTCTTTGAACTGCACTTGCTTGCTCTGTGTCCTGCATTTGGGTCCACCAACCTGCCCCACCATCAATCGTGACATTAATGCTTGTATTTCAGATACTGTATTGTTGGTTTGGACATCACTGCTGGGTGGATTGACATTTAATGCAATTGTAGCCAATTGGAATATAAGATTATTCCCTTCAGCTGAAGGGGCAAAAATAATCGTCAAATTTCTAGACTCACTCAGTTGTAGGAAGGTCTGGAACACCAGAACAATGGAAACTGATGTTTTAAAAATAATATGATCTGAAGGCAACATGTAGATAGAAAATGAGAAGCCCCAGGATTGAACCCTGTGGTACACCACAAGAAATCACAGCCTGAGAGAACAACAGAGAAACTTCTTTTATAAAGACGAGAACAAAAGCAATGAGAACCTGAGTCTGTGATGCCAACCAGTTTATAGACATGTTTCATTCAAACTGTGTAAATGTTTTTCTCCAATACTGAAGTATAACAGTACATACAGTATATTGACAGTATTGCATACATTTGTTCAAGTTGAAACAAATCCAGACTTCATCATCACACTGAAGTTTAACAGTGTGTGACTCCCTCTAGTGGACGTTGTGGAGTATTCTGTTGTCTTTGCTCCAAAGGTTTTTGTACAGAGTTTTGGTGTTTCCTGTCACTGTGGGCTGCAGAGCACAGTAGTACACAGCAGAGTCAGACAGCTGAAGCTTCTGGATCTTCAGAGGAACTGATTTTGAGGTGGAATCAACTGTTGATGAAAACCTCTCCTTAAACTTATCCTCTGTTTTCACATCGTTCTGTTTCATGCGACTCAGCATGAATTTGGGGCTGTTGTTTCCATCCTGTTTGTACCAGAACAAAGTTGCAGTGTAACTCGTCTCAAAAGTACAGCCAAGTGTAACTGTGTCTCCTTCAGCAGCAATGACATCTCCTGCTGGCTGGGTCACTCTGTCTTCTCCTTTACACTCTGGGGAAGAAGAGAACATGCAGAGGAAGAGATGGATCAATAAAGATGATTGATTAAAGGAGAACAATCAGTAGGTTTAAAGAGTTACCTAGCCAGAGAGTCAGAATCAGGATGTTTCTCAGCCAGTGGTTCATGTCTGCAGTGAGAGGGGAGGAGAGAGAGGAAGAACATTGATACTCTGATGGATCTGGGCCTTCACATCATTGGCCCTTCCTCTTCATCATCTGTTGAGGAACTCTCAACATTTACATCTCATTTACATCTCAGCTGTTTAGCTGATGCTCTTATCCAGAGCAGCTCATAATGAGGAGCTTTAACATGTGAACTTTCTGTTACAACAAAGTCTCTTTAACCACTTTTCACCCTGGAATAGTTAATTCATCAACATGGGTCTGTAATCATTTTAGTTTGTCTCATCATCAGTGATACCAAAGCATTCTGTGTAGAAGAAGACTTCCTTGTGGAGTGCCTTACTGTACAGAAATAGCCTCAATTAAACACCATGATCTGGATTAACTGTGTTTTATTAATAACAGGAGTAATGTTGTAACTTGTCATTAGATTGTGTTGTCAGTGTCCACTTGGTGGCGCTGCTGTTCAGTAAAAGGAGGAGCTGCAGTGAGTAAATCTTCAGAGGAGCTGTCAGGTTTTTGTACAGAGTTTTGGTGTTTCCTGTCACTGTGGGCCTCACAGCACAGTAGTACACAGCAGAGTCTGTCACTGCAGCAGAGATCTGCAGATCCAGATGGGTTTTATCATCACTCACTTTAGCAGACCATCTAGAGCTTGTTGCATTTTGTGTTCCCAAGTGAAAGATGAGGAACTCTGGTGGTTTTCCTGGATATTGTCGATACCAGAAGAAATAATCACTAGTTAACAGTTTAGAGTATGTGTAGGACAGAGTAACAGAGCTGTCTTCTAAAGTGAACTCTTCATTCCTGACTGCAGTGAGTTCTTCACAGCTGACACCTGAAGGAAGAGATAACTCTGTTATTTCATGTTGTAAAAGACTCAACAAATGAATCCCATCCAGAAAAGTTAGTAATGAAACTTTCTCAGCAGGATCTCACATACCTGTTAGAATGGATAGTAACAGTAGAGAAAGTACATAATAGTCCAATGACAGCATGTTGAATAAAGGGAATGTTTCTGCTTTGTGTATTGAACTCTGCTGAATATGGAAGTTCCTCTCTCTTCTATAGTTCACTAACAGCTTAGCTCCTCCCTCAATCTCTCCGTCTCCTCGCAGCTCTGTAGGTTATAGTGGCTTCTAGTGGTAAGGGCTGTGAATTGCAACCTGATATTAACCAATGGCACACTGGCTGCTCCCCCCTCCCTTTGGAAGTCTATAGGAGAAGGTGGCCGACTCTTTGTCTCTGTCGTCTCTTGTGCTAAATAAAACGTGTGGTCCTCCATTTGTCCAAATTTCTCTTCTCTTCTGACTTCTAACAAACCAGACGACTACTGTTACTGTTACTATACTCTTCTTTTTTTTCTTCGTACGTTTTCAATGTAGTGACTAAACGGGCTCTGTAGAGCAGTTTGTCCGTTTGGGCTACTGTAGAATCATGGTGGAGCCGCGGTGTATGTAGATACAAGTGTCTCATTCTGAGGCAATAAAAACATTACGGTTCATTATGTAAGGTCTTTCTACACCACTGAAAACATAGTTATGTACAGGGTGTGATTTGTGTAAAAAACAGAGGGGGGATGTTTTATTTTCTTCATGAGAAAACTCCCGCCCCCCGATTTAAAAGCCTTCACTTTCAAGAGCGTCATCATCGGCTGCCTTTCCTCCAGCACACAGCTCCGCTGCTCCCCGGAGCACATGTCTCCTGACTGTTGATAGGCCATTATTCGTGACTTGTAACCAATCAGATAGAGCCGTGGGCGGGACATTGATCAAGACTCCAGAGTGGTAATTACCCACAGACAGAGAGCGGCAGCTGGACCAGAGCAAAAGTAGAGCATTTTAAAATTAATTTAACCCTAAAAAACCTCGGACTGATCTGAGTTTTGTGATCAGTAGCATCACTAGTGAAGTAGCATTGATCACTCTGAGGGGGGGATAAATTCTGTCCCCACCAGGGACATAACTTATTCAGCAGAGGCAGGGATGTATAACCAGAAAGGGGAAATCCCAAACATCTTTTAGTCTGTCAGCTTCTCTTGTCTTTGCCGCTTAGTCTCTGTCTACAAGTCCAGCCTTCTAGTCCTTTCCCAGTGTTTTCTTGGGTTTTGGATTTTTGGCCTGATGTATCGGATCTTTTAGGAGTTTGTTTATTGCCTAAGTCCTTTGGATGTGTTTGCTTTTTGGACTGTCTGCCTGTTTGGCCCTTGGCCTGCCTCAGCGTGCTGTAAGTCAGGGTACTCGTACAGGGTGTTATTATTAAACCATAAAACTGAACCTGCCGTGCCTCTGGTTCTGGGTCTGGGTCTGGTCCACTCCCTTGTGTTCTCTTTCCTTGCTTGAACTTCCTGTGAAACAGGGATATTATCTCCTTATATTCCCTTGTCTATATAAATATCATGTTTGACCAACCTCAGGGAGGTCATGCAGAGACACCCCCTCCCAATGAAAGGCTTCCTAGAATATAAACATTTTTAATGGTTTCATTTCTAAACCTTGACCTCACAATCCTCTCTAAGAGTAGAGTAGATCAAGACTTTATCATCACACTTGAACTTTAACCTCTTGCTGAGCTCTGTTTCCATTCAGGCTGATGGGTGATTTAGAAAATGAATTTAATTCCTTTATTTACATTTATTCATTTAGCTGACGCTTTTATCCAAAGCGATAGCCAGGCCCGTAGTAAATAATGATTTTAGACCGATCGCGTTAACGTCTGTGATTATGAAATGTTTTGAAAAGTGTATTGTGTCAATGTTAAAAGCAGAGGTTGCTAACAACCTAGATCCTTTACAGTTTGCCTATAGGCAGGGGAGGGCAACTGAGGATGCTATTATTAGCATTATGCACCTAATTCTGAAGCATTTAGAGAATCACAAAGCCTATGCTCGTTTACTTTTTATCGATTTTAGTTCGGCCTTTAACACCATTCAAACACCCTTGTTAATCTCAAAGATGGAGCAGTTGAGTGTAAACCAAGCTATCATAAAGTGGTACTCATCTTTTTTAACTGACAGAATTCAGTGCGTTAAAGTAAACAATTGTCTTTCACAACAAAGAAAGACTAGCACAGGTGTCCCACAAGGCTGTGTCAGTTCTCCAATTCTTTTTACTTTATTTACAAATGAATGTTCAAGTAAGCATTCAAAAAACTATATCTTTAAATATTCAGACGACACAGCCATCTTAAGTCTTCTCGATGAAGACGATAATATTAGAGATGGATACCTGCCAGAAATAAGTCAGTTTGTTGAGTGGTGTGATAAAAATGATCTAATAATAAATATAAAGAAAACAGCGGAGATCATATTCGATCCAAAAGGTATTGGGGACCATCATCAAGTGGTCATACATGACCAAAACATCACCCAAACGCAGACTTACAAGTATCTGGGTGTTTATATAGACAGCTCACTTACTTGGAAAACTCACACGGAATGGGTTTGCACACGGCTGCACCAGAGACTATATTTTTTACGTAGATTACGTTTTTATGGGGTGAATAAGAAAATGATGATGCTGTTCTACAAGGCTGTTTTAGAAAGTATTGTTAAGTATGGTGTTACAGTATGGTTTGGGAACCTATCTATACAGCTAAAATCCAAATTGTCACATCTGGTGTTAACAGCACTTAAAACAGTTGGAAATGAGGAATCTTTGAATCTCCAACAGTTATTTGAGAATAGCACTTTAAATCAGGTGCAGAAAATTGTGGGGGACCAAACTCACTTTCTGCACTCTCAGTATGAATTGCTCCCCTCCGGCAGAAGATATAGAGTTCCACTGTGCAAACTAAACCGGTATAAAAATTCTTTTGTTCCTGTGTCTACACGTATGTTGAATAACAGTCTATCTTATTAATTTTAAATTTGTAAATTAATTGTCTTTCCTCTTTTTATACTTTTATACTTGTATATTGTATATTTCTATGTACATGCAGCAACCATGCAGTCCAAAACAAATTTCCTTTCGAGGACAATAAAGTATACTACTACTACTTAAACTTGTTATATATGACAGAGGTCGCACGCTTCTGGAGCAACGAGGGGTTAAGTGGTGGATGGGTCACAGTGGGGAGTTGAACCCAGGTCTTTCACACCACAGGCATGAGTCTTATCCACTGCACCATCACCCCCCTATTTGTCAGTTTTTATGACGGTACATAAAAAACACAATAATGCTTCAAATACAGTCATTGCAGTCACTATATAAAATGAGTATAAAAATAAATAGAAACTTTTTAAACTTACATACCCCCACTTCCCCATCTCCACCCACTACCCATAATGCTCCTGTGAATCCTCCCCCAGTGTTTCATTAGCAGCTGGAACCACAGTGACTCTGATAAAACAGGAATTAGCAGAATCCATCTGATATGAAGCTGTGGTTTGAATACCACTTCCCTCCTCTTTGAAGAGTAGTCAGATATCTGGGTTCAGGTTTTTGTACAGCCTCTTCTACACTTTGTATCACTGTGTTTCTAGAGCACAGTAGTAGAGAGCTGTGTCTGCCAGGGTTAGATCTCTGATGGTCAGTTTAGTTGATGTTGCTGATGTTTCAGATCCATATCTTCTATTAGGAATATGTTCACTACCACTCTCTGATTTTGCTCCTTTCCAGAGTATAAACTGAGGTGCCTGAAGGTCAGAATGATGTTTGTACCAGTAAAGGTAAATATTGTTGTATGTTGTCTGATAGTTGCATGTGAGTGTGACAGATTGTCCTTCTCTTCCACTGACTTCCTCTCGTTCAGGAGAGATTGTGTCTCCAGCTATTAGTCCTGGAAAAAGTAGAGCAAATGAAGCCATTAGACTAACATTGTTCATGAGGCTGAGAGGAGAAGACAGTGGAAAATGGCAGCTGTACAGTGTTACTCTGTGGACACAAACACTCCAACACTCACCTATGAAGTGAGAGCAAAGTAAAAAGAGGTAAAGCAACATGTCTTTGGAGTTGTTAAAGCCAGACAGACAGCAGATGAGCAATGTTCTTCCACTGCAGTAGAAT